GATAGGAAAGGGTGGTAAATTACAAACAGTGATTGTATTTAACAGCTGAAGTCTGCTTTTCAAAGCTCAAAAAAGAAAATTTTAAAGAAAGAGGTTATAAATCAGGATGCCCAGATTTAGTCAGAAATGAAAATCTTTGGGGGATTTACTGCTTCAAATTGTCCAGCACTCCAAACAAACAAACCAAAACAAAAAAAAAAAAAAAAAAGTGGCAAAAGCAATACAAGAATCTTTATTAACTACGTGACCATGGATTTTGTTGGTCAAGCAGCTCATTCATGCAGATCCCACTGTGCAGAAGAAACATAGTGTGGCTGCTGGGGCAAACTGATCCTGACGTGGTCTATTTTCTACCAAAATCATGGATCACAGAGAAATTGCACATCTCCCACGATCTAACCTTAGAATGTTTATGTATGTACTCAACATGGATTTCCCTCCTTGTCCACTGCCAATGCAACCAGTGCCGAGGTAAAGGCTGCACCATTCATGCCCATGCTTTATGCAACTTTTAACCCTCCTCTTGGAATGCGAAGTGTAATAATACTGAGAATCATGCCTGCCTTTCCCCTTTCGCTCTCTCTTCAGTGTCACTTTGGGGGACTGGCATCATGACCCTCCACTGCTGCTTCTTCTGTGAAAATTGTCCTTAGTGGTAGAAAAGGTGCAAAACTGGTTAAGCTGTGGAAGTTTTTTTAATAGGGATGTATTTGAGGGAGAAACCAAAGAAACTGGGGTACATATATTCAGAGGTGGGTGATAAGATTCCGAACTGTATTAGATATTTCCCAGAGAGACTTTAGTAGATGCTACCTCCAGTGTCACCAAAGTAAAGTAATTTCTAGAGAGAGTCAGTTTTAGATATTCTTGCAATTTTCTGGTATTGCTTTACTTCCGTTAGATAAATAAATTCCATGCTCTGGTCTCAAATATTGTGTTAGTATTTGAAAATACTAAAATGCCCCAAACCAGAGGTGATTTGGGATTTTGTGGCTCCCATGTGCAGAGGCTGTTTCAAGTGACTGTATCCAGCCTTCCTGTCTGCCTGATACAATCAGCTTAGGAGAAACACACCAGACCCCACCAACGACAAAAGCACATTTCTCATGGAACGCCTGCTCACTGATGGAGGAGTTGGAGGAAGCCACATATTTTGGCTTTGGCTATGAGGCAACACAACCAGTGTTGGAACTTGGACGCCAGCTTTCCACAGATTTCATATATTCTTTGTCACTCTGTACAACAGCCATTTCCCTACCTCAGAGACGTACCTGCTAATGTCCCCAGTGCCACAGCTGTGGATGAAGGGACATGGGCAGCAATGGTCAGGCTGATGTGCTCCTCCTGAACACCATTCCCTACAGACGCTTCATTTTTCTAAATGTATTTTTCATGTCATTTACTGGTTCAAATGGAAGAAAGCTGCTGCTAATGAGCTAAGCACCCACATCCACAGCCCTCCTTGGCTAGTGCTCACCATCCCTCAGCTGGCCAAGATCCTTCCTACAGCCCCACTTGTTCATGCTTCTTCTCCCATACCCTTGTCAGGGACTGCCCGTTCTGATCCAGCACAGCAGTTGTTAAGTTTCTCAGTACAACCAGATTAAAAATCGGATGCCTTCAGACAGTTCTGGCTTCTCCCGAGTCCTATACATATATACCTACACACCAGTATAATAAGAAACCTGAAAAACTAATTAGTGTTTCTTAATGTCCACCAAGATACCGCAACTCAGCTAACTTTTCAAACAGTGCTGAAATCCTAAAATCAGGAAATTTTAAGGTTTCTGAACAGAAACATCCTGAGATGTTTCAGAGAGACAGCGCTGTTTAGTCTGTGGAAGGGAAGGCGTGTGACCTTTTGATGCTAAAATGGGGATTATAAGGAAGATGAAGAGAGACTTTTTACAAGTGCTTGTACTCATAGGGCAAGGGAAAAGGGTTTTTAACTGAAAGAGGATAGATTTAAATTTCATATAAGGAAGGAATTATTTATTATGAGAATGATAAAGCACTGAAACAGTTTCCCCAGAGAAGCTGTGGCTGCCCCACCCCTGGAAGTGTTCAAGGCCAGGCTGGAAGGGGCTCTGAGCAACCTGGTCTAGTGGAAGGTGTCTCTGCCCATGGCAGGGGTTTGGAACAAGGTGATGGTTAAAGGCCCTTCCAATCCAAAGCATTCTAGGATTCTATGAAATTGAGATATTCACACCTTAGTTACTTTGGGTAATTTTAGGTAAAGTAAAAAGCCTTCTGGACTTGACATATATAAAAAGAAAAAATGAAAAGGTCCAAGTCTGAAAAATTTGTTTTTCCTTAAAATCATGTACCTGCTGATATTATAGGTAAAATAAAAATTTGGACTTTCAGTGCTCAAAATTACTTAGAAATAAAGAAAATTAAACCATGGTTAGTAATGCATCTATCACAAAACTTAAAGCCCTAAAAGATGCTCATGTATTTATATACATATTAGCTGGTTCCAGTCTGCATTTGAAAGTTTAGGTGGACATTTTTCTGGAAGCTTAAAAATAATATCATGGACAATATTACCTTTCTGGAATGAAAGGAACTTAGATAAAGAATAGCCTACTGTATATTCAAAAAGTAGCATGTTTCTTAAGTTCCATGTGCATTATATTTGCAATTTACATGGGGATTTGTAACAGTGCTGCTGCTCCCTGGGTGTTACTTACTTTGGATGGACTTCTCTAAGGCTGAGTTTACACAGCTGTGGTAGGAAAACCTAGCCACAATCAATTAAAAAGTGCAACACAAATCCTTTGAACAGCATTCTCAGGCTGTCCTGCTGTTGAGACAGCTACTATTCTCCAAGAACGAGTGCTCTAACTGTATTAAACTTAGTCCTAAGCAAAATAAGCTTTTACTAATTTTCACCATTTAAGGAACATAAAGACCTGCCTTTGTCATTTAAAATTTAAGCTGACTAAGCCTCATAGAAACAGAACATTAAAGAACTAAAGCAATTAAATCCATTTACAGAGGTCAGAAGAGTCTCTGGGTTTTAGGCACGATGGGCTTGTATGGTCTGTGCTTGTCATTCATGTGAACTTTTAGATTATGGGTTGATAGGTACCAAGTAAGTCACCTCTGTTTTCCTCTTGATAGCAGAGTGACGCTGAGCTGATCTTAGCAGGTCACCAGTGTCCTGCCATTACCTGCACTTCTGATTACTGAACAACTAGAATAAGCAGGCAAATGAGACCCCAGATGTCTTGTCTTTGTGTGGGACATATTTATTACCAACCTACTGAATCCTGCACACAAAGAAGGTCTCATGGAATGTAGTATGTCTCCAGGCTGATGCAAAAAGCACTGAGGGGAAAAAAAAAGGATAAATAAGCAGGCTGCTGAAAAGCCTGAAGTCTAACTAACTCACCAGCACATTGATAATACAATAATGTGGTCAACCCACTGTAGACTTTAAACAAGGCTTTTCTGGTTTTCAGCTAATAGTAAAAGAAGAGATTAAGGTGTTTAATTTCTCTTGCTCTTTCTTCCCTCTTTTTACCTGGAGGGTGTGCATGTATGTGTACATATGTATTTCCTAAATAAGCAAAGAGAAAGTACATACATATACATTATGATGTGGAAATCATGAGGTAGAGTGTGAATTAGGTTTTATTTCCAACAACAGGGTAATTGACATTATTTCAGATTTCCATGTTCTGTGACTGCAAGCAGTCAGATGTGTGTGTGTTATAGGATGGGAGGGGAAGGGGGAAGCTGAACAGAAGATATGAATTTTAATCAGTTTCCTGAATGAATACAACACTGTATTTCCCCCCACTCTCCTTAGGATGACAATTCAGAGTAGATAACCTTCTCCTTTGAAAAACCTTGAAAGGAAAGTTTGTTTTTACCATAACAAATGCAACAAAAGAAGAGGGAAGCTGGGAAAGGGAGAGGGCAGACAAATTAAATGTCAAACTTTCCTTACTTGAAGATAACAGCATACTAGGAAACCTTCTTAGAAGCTTAACATAAACGCAGTTAAGCTGTTGCCAGCTGCAGTAAACCTCTCTCTCACCTTTCTTTCTCTCTTTCAAGATATCTTTGAATGCCTTCTCCTTCATCATAAATCAGACCTGTGAGCAATTATCGCTCAAGCCGGATGGCAGCGGCCTGAGTGGCCACTGCTATTCCACTGCTGTAATCTGCACTTCGTCAGGTTACACTACCCTTGATGAAATTTCACATTTCTTTGCCAATGAGTGTTACCTCTCTGTTTATGACTCACTGTCTTTGCAACAGAGAACTGTGAATTTCGTTCCTCTCCTTGTAATTTTCTTAAGCATCACGGACCATCCGGCGGTGCTCAGCACCCTCAGCAACCCATCGGGGAGTCTCAGAGCATCCCAATAGGATGTGGTTCTGATGCTGTTCCTCAAACACTTCCCCTGGGGGCATATCCCAGCGCCTCGGAGGGAGACTGGACATAGACACCCTCCTCTGGGATGGTGCCGATGACACTGTCAACTATCACAGGAACTCTTCGTGTTTGTCACCCCCTTTCCTATCCATGCTGCCCTGGGGCGACAGGTTCCTCTCAAGTTCCGGCCCCGCCAGCCTCCAGGCTGCACCTTGCCGCCCTCACAGAGAAGGGGAAAGCGCTTTGGCCAGTTTTTCAGCCAGGAGTTAAAAAAATAAAAAAGCCAAATCACCCCGAAATTCCAGCCCCGCAAAAGGGAGCGGGCTCCAGCCTCCAAGCCAGGCCAAGTCAGTGAGCGCTGCCCGGGTACCGAGCGGGGTTCGCGTCCCGCACCGCCGCCACCGCGCGGCACCCAGCACGGACCTGCCAACCTTTGCCAGGCAACTTTTAACTTTTTAAATAAAACCCCCAAACCAACCCAAAGGGCACACCCGCTCTCCCAACCATCCTACATCCCCGCGCACGGCTGTCAAGACGGGCATGAAAAAGCAGGCACAAAGAGAGAGAGAGAGAGAGAGAGAAAGAAAGAGAGAGCGAGAAAGTCACTCACCGTTGGCGGCGGCACAGAGGTTTCCAGAGCCACTTTGAACTAAGAATGACTGAGGGACAAACTCTTCCTCAGAGTCCGAGCCCGCGGCCGCCCGGGCCGCGCCGTCGCCCAGCGACCGCCCCGGGCCCTCATTGGCCGGCGGCGAGGGGAGAGGGGAGGGGGACTGCGAGCGGGGGGTGGAGGAGGCGGACGAACAGGGCAGGGGGGGACCTGCGGGCCACAGACACACACACAGAGAAGGGAGGGGAGAAAAAAACACAGAAAGAAATAAAATGAACAAAAAAACCACGGCAAAACACGGACAGAGAGACAATAAAAGTCGAGCCGGGGCACGAGGGATGGCCGCCTGCCCCAGCTGGGAAGGGGCGGCCGACTGCACGTATCTGACCCCATTACCTGCTGCCCCTCGGGCTGTTACTGTCCTTTAAAACTCCTATCTTCCTAATATCCATCCTTTAAAACTCGCATCCCTCAGGTTTTCTGTTGGGCTTTTCGGTTTGGTTTGGTTTTGTTAAGGTTTTGACATTGGCGAGAGCCCTGATCCAAGATGCGCTTTGTTCCCACGACGTGGGCGCTCACTGTCAATGAGTCGTACTCATTGATGCGGCCGCGCGGAAAGCTTCGCCCGACGTATTGTGAGGTGAATTATTTCAGATTCCATGTGAAAAGTGTAAAGTCCTTCTGGGGATTGGTTTAACAATTCCCTTCCCTCTAGTTTATAAAGCAAACGGCGCAAGACCTCCACCGTGCAGGCAAGAGGTGGAGCAAAAGTGCGGACACCGCTGTGTGGGGTAGAAGCCCCTCAGCAAACAACCACGCTGATAATAGAGCAGAAGCACAGGTCAGACCAGCTCATTTCGTTGATTAAATGATGAAAAACACAACAAATCGGGTTCTAAGATCACATTTTACATAGAGCTGTGCCTGACTGAGGAAGAGCTTCTACTTACTGCAAGAAAATTGAATCAGGTACATGTAGGTTAAGTAGATCCAATTGGAAAATCTTACTGTAAGCAATTAATGGTTTTCAGGGTCTTATTCCAATCATATTTTAAAACAAAACTGGTAAATCAGAAGTGCCAGACTGGCTAAAAGAACTATCAGGCAAATAGGAGGTCAGATATGTGCAGTACAGCAATAAAAACAGGGGGAATATGAACACAGGCATATAATACAGGACAATGCATTTAAACATGAACTTTTCCCCTTGCTACATTTGATCTGAAAGTTATAATGACTAATCTCTCACATTTTCCCAAATACTGAAATTTTATCATGCAAAATCCATCAAAATAAAAGAACAGTCAGCACAAGAAAATCATCAAACTTAAAAAATCATATTTTTCTATAAAAACACATTTTGAACACAGCATAGCTCACAAAATAGCTGTACAATATTTCTTACTAAACACAACATGAACACTTTAGAAATAGACACAAACCCAAAACAATAAAGTGGGTTTAACATTTAAATTCCCCAAAGCTGGTTCTGCATATATATTTCCTTCCACCCTGGTCATTAGTTTTTCTCATCATAAACCCCTGGATGTCAGCTCCTTGGCATATGGCAGTCTTATAAATTGCCAATTATAATCAGAGAAGAAATTGTGGCATCAGAAGCAAACCCTGGGATCCAAGGAAAATACTGGACTGTACCTGTGCTTAGACACTTGTCACCTGAAGGAGAAAAGCCAGTGTTGGGTGGGAGCCTACACTCCCTCGTGTGAACAGCAGCCTGTGCAGCATGCAGACCAAGAGCCAAAACTGAGCCCTGTGTGTTTTGTTATGATCAGCAGTGCAGTTGTCTGGATCGCCTTTCTGACAACCCTCCAGACAGAGTTCCTCCTTTAGGAATGCAGCTTTTAAGGAATCTGCAGCCCACTTCACACTCCCTGACCCTTTTTATCGTGCCAAGGCTGTAACCTTCCCATTGTGCTAACTAGTGGTAGGAGCTGGAGACAGACAGGAAGAAAAAGGAGCACGTGCAAGTGGATGAGCACTGCTTTCCTTGTCACAGTCCCTGACATGAGAAGTGAGATTCAGCTCTAATTCTGATATGCTTTTGAAGAAGCAAAGTACACTCTGCATCATCCTCTTTGTGGCATTAGAGATTTGATGAGCCCTGACATGTAACAAAGTTTAAATCAGGACTTTGATTTGCTATGCTTTCATTACAAAACAGGGTGACATGCATTTCTAATCCTGTGTAGTAGTCAGAGGCTGAATTTTAGTGTGATGGTGACTGAAATGGAAAAGAAGTGTAAAAATCAAGTCTTGCTATAGTCCCATACAGTTTTTCAGTGTACTTTGTAAGGAGAGGACACATTTTTCCAGCCATTGAGTAAGACAATCTAGATTAAAAATTTATTTCAAGCCTATGATTCATTTACACAAACACCAGTGAAATGCATAAAAGGGAGGCTAATGGGGTGGCTACCCGACCAAAAACAAAAGTGGACAATTACAGTAAAGCCCCAAAGCTCTCCCTGTGTTTTGTTTAGACAGTATGCTCGCCATAACTATACATGAATTCTGTAGTCTGGACATAAAGAGCAGGAGCAGAATGAGCTGAATTTGGAATTGTAACTCTAAAAGCAAAATGTCAGTGCTTTTGTCAGTCCACATCAAAGTTTCTGCCATTTCCACATGGTTGCAAGTTGTTGGGAGTTTCTTTTGGTAAGAGCTTTCCCCATCTCCCAGTATGGCAGTTTTGTCAAGAATAAAAGAAAAAACATAAATTAAAAAAACCCCAAAACCTTTTTAATGGCAACTTTGGGTTTTAATCAACTACACCATTGCAGAGCACACATGAGGAGATCCCATGGGTTTTCATGGTTGTTATGCGCGCTTCCAGCAGTGCATGAGCTGACCTTTACAGGGGCAGATTCCCTAGGAATTGTGCATACTAACCACTCAAGGCTGTGCTGCTATGAAGGGCACCAGCACACACCACCATGCTCTGTCGAAAATTGCCTTTTGGGCATGAATGATGGGGTGGATTCAAAAGGAGATTTTGCCAGTTACTGGATGGAAGGTGCGCACTAGGCAGCTCTGCTGACAACACCAGTTATAAAATGCACGGGAAGCAAAGCGATACCTTCCTTTTTAGCAATTCAACAAGGCTGCAAGGCAAGCATGTGTTAAGTTGTGGATCCTTTAAGAGAACTGCCTCTTTTTTTTCCTTCTTGGACAGAAAACCAAGAATTAAATTTGACCTTTTCAAAAAAATTAAACCAAGGGAGAGACGAAAGCTACAAGTTTGTTTCCTTCTCAGACAAGTATCTCATTGAATTTACTGCAACTGCAAGTCCAAGTAAAACAAGCCCGTAAACTTTCATTCCAGCTGCCAGAGCAAAATTTCTAATTGATTAGAGCAAAATGAATTTGCAGTAATACTGGGTTGCCATGGAACCTGAGCAAGTAGGACAAGTTACTTTGCAGAATGTACTGTTTCTCCTTCAAAAATACAAAACAGAAGGACGAGATAACACATTCATTATGTACAGTCTTGCAATTTGGAACTTAAGTCAAAGAAAAATAAAACAGATTCCAAGTATGGGCCCCTTGGCATCAATTTGTAACAATCTTATATATCCACTTTCAGTGAACAGTCAAAATTATGTTCTTTGGACTTGAGGCAGGAATAATAGCCGTTGAATCTCTCTATATGAATGATGTGATACTAGCACATATTCTGAGGAAAAGAGAACAGAACCTTCTATTTAATCTGTGTGCCAGTATTTCAGATTAAAATTAAAAAAAAAATCAGGGGAAGATATGTTGCAGTGTCTGGTAGATTTATGAAAGTACTTAGGAAACACAAACTTTGGAAATAGGTTAGTACAAAGAATCTGTTTCTCAACTTAACCAAGGAACTCTGAAATATTCAGGCAACTGCTTTAAATTTAGGGAAGAGACAAGCAGAGCAGACCCTAAAAAGTTAGGGGAAAGTAACACAAACAATAAACACGCCTTAATTTTATGCTGCACATTTGGCTGTAATATTTAAGAATTACTTTATCTCTCACAGGATTTGGCATTCAGAGATCAAGAGCTGATTTAAGAGTGTATTCATGCTAGTGTGAATAGAAGAGCTGCCAGCAATACAGAACATTCACAGAGATACTTCTAAAGAAGGTCAGTAAATTGTTTCATGGACTATATTCAGTGGATTATACTCATATGTTTGTAATTTGTCCCAAAAGAGGTGAAAAAGAGTGGATATATACAAAGGCTGACTTCTCACAGAGCTGAAATGACAAGGCAACAGGATTTAACAGTGTTCAATACTCCCAGAATGGTATTATCTGTGATCAATAAGTAAGTAGTATCAGCTTTTTTCACCTGGTAACTTCTTCATCCAAGAACCTTTAAGGGCTTTACAAGCATTGGGTATGTAAACTTTGAAATACTGTTACCAGATCTGTTGGGATCTGTTATCAGATTGGCTGATACAATGGTCAGAGGGCTGGAACACTTGTGCTAGGAAGACAGGCTGAGAGAGCTGGAGTTGTTAAGCAGGGAGAAAAGAAGACTCTGTGGAGATCTTCCAGCAGCTTTCCAGTACTTAAAGGAAACTTGTAAAAAAGGGAGTGAGACTTTTTTCACAGGCGGATAGTGATAGAACAAGAAGTAAGAGTCTTAAACTAAAAGTGAAGAGATTTAGATTAGATACTGGGAAGAAACTTTTCCCTGTGAGGGTGGTGAGGCACTAGCACAGGTAGCCCAGAGAAGCTGGGGATGTTCCATCCCAGGAAGTGTTCAAGGCCAGGCTGGACAGAATTTTGAACAATCTGTTCTAGTGGAAGGTGTCCCTGCCCTGGGAAGGAGGTGTGGGACTAGATGATCTCTAAGGTCCCTTATAGCCCAAACCATTCTGGGGAACAGACTTACATTTCTGACAGATAAGGAAACTGAGGCACAGAGATGTGTAACAATTTGATTCAAAATTCTGTCATTTCCTGTACTTCCACGTTCTATCTCTAGCCACTGGAACAGTCTAAAAGGCAGTTGTCACACTCAAAATATTCTTAATTAGTTGGATTCGCACCATAAAGAAACAACAGGCATGGGCAGAAGTACTGTGATTGCGATTACCTCAGTACAACAACTGCAGTAGCGCTCAATAAGAATGTTGGCATTAAGTCCTGTCACTGACATTGCCTTTGTACCACCTTAAAATAGACAAGTCTTTAACCAAGGTTAGAACT